GATTTTTCTTTTATGCCAAAAATCATTAGGATATTAAGATAAGATCATGTTCCATGAAGATATTTTGTAAATTTCCTACCGTAAATATATCAAAACTTAATTTTTGATTAGTAATTTGCATTGCTAAGAACGTCATTTGGACAACTTTAAAGATGATTTTCTCAATATTTAGATTTTTTTGCACCCTCAGATTCCAGATTTTCAAATAGTTGTATCTCAGCCAAATATTGTCCGATCCTAACAAACCATACATCAATGGAAAGCTTATTTATTCATCTTTCAGATGATGTGTAAATCTCAATTTCGAAAAATTGACCCTTATGACTGGTTTTGTGCTCCACGGTCACATATATGAAGTACTTATTTTCTAAAACATGTTTTACTCTAAACCTGCTAGAAAATCAAAGCCATAAATCTAACAACGTTGTGTTCCAAATTTGAGGTTGATATCACAAAAAAAATGAGAATTTTGTTTGGCCGCAGTACCGAATGTTTCCACTAGGGGAAATACGTTTGCTGTTTGCTTCCAATGTTTACAAATGATCATACAGTATATCTTTAGAAAGTGAACAGCACATAACAGGCACATACCAGTATAAACATAAATATCTATCAATACAATATACATCACACCACTCAACATGCATCAATATTTTCAAATTCCCTTTCAAATTCAGAAGCCTCTGTCAAACACGTCGTCTCAAACCGTAGAGAAAAGCTGTGTCTGTATCAGTGTGTCACTGTGTGCTGGTCTCCTGCAGAATGAGAAGTGTCACCTGCTGATAGAAAACGAGACGCAGCGTCTGAAGGCTGTGGACGAGCAGCACAACCAGCAGCTGAAGGAGTGGAGGGAGCACCTCAAGCCCAGGAAGAAGGTCTGCGCTTCACCAAATACACTTAATTAATTACACACTACAGCTCAAAGGTTTGGGCTGGTAGTCTCTTCTGCTCGCCAAGACTGCCTTTGATCAAAAACACAGGGGGAAAAAAAGTTATGTTGTTAAATATTACAATTTCAAACACTGTTTTTTTATTTTAATATAAGGCCTGTCAGGTTTTTGCAGTTATTTGAGATATCCACAATAATTGTACAGTTTACATTTGTGTAAATGTTGCTGTTGCGTCTCATTTTCCTGGAGGCGAGTCAGATTTCAGCATCACAGCAGTCAGTTATTGCTGTAAATCACATAAGGAAAGATTATACGAAAAAATTATATATTCAAATTAATTAAATTTAATAAAAAAAAATATATGTATTTGACTGACAATGTAATTGCATTGAACAAAACAGACAATTAATGAATCGTCAGCACTAAATGCATGATCGTGACAGGCCTATTTAATATCTATTAAACTAATTTATTGCTCCGATCATTACTCTAGTCTTCAGTGTCACGTGATTCTTCAGAAATCATTCTGATATGCTGACTTGCTGCTTTTCTGATTATTATCAGTGTTGAATACAGTTGTGCTGCACGATATTTTTGTGGAAACCGTGATGCATTTGATTTTTCAGGATTCACAGATGAGCAGAAAGTTGAAAAAGAACAGCGTTCGTTTGAAATATAATTTTTTTTTGTGACATTATAAATGTCTTATTTGTCGCTTTTGATCAATTTCATTGCTGGAAAAATGTTAATTGAAAAAAAAAAAAAAAAAAGCAAATAAATCTTTCTGAGCTCAGACTTTTGAACAGAAGCATATATACACATTCGATCACACGATTAAGCGCACTTCTCCTCAAATTCTCATTACTGTTATATGTCTACACGCTGAAAAAAATGATACTAAATGTTTTTAAGGTAAGTGGTTGCAAACAATTTATTTTAGCTACATTTAAATAAAAAAAAAGTTGAAAGTTAGTCAACTAAATTTGTTTATTTAAATGTAGCTAAAATGCATTGATTGCAACCACTTACCTTAACATTTTTTAGTAAATTCAATGAATAATTTTTTTTCAGTGCATATAGCTAAATTTTTTTATTTATAGTAATTTTACTCACAATATTAAATTGCTGCATTTTTTATTCTAATATAAAGGCGTGTATATAAAGGCATTAAAGCAATGCATCACCTTGTACAATGATATAAAAAGATTACTGTTGAAATAAAAAGGTTTTGACCGTATTTGGCTGATGTGAATAACCTCACACGCCAGGTGCTTGTAGAGTTGAAGTGTGATGTGTTTCTGTCTCCTCTCTCAGGTTCTGGAGGAAGAACTGAACCTGAGGAAGAAAGAGCAGGAGCTTTTCTTCAAGATGAGTCATGATTCCCAGTGTCAGAACATCGGCTCACCAAACAAACTCACAAAGTTCCTCCCATACGTCGATTCGTCCACCACATGAGCCAAGCATGAGAAACTGAAATCACATCACGCTGAAGCCAAAGAAACATTCATCTAATACAGAGAGCACTGACAAATACAGCGTCTCTTTACAGAACACTCACCTGAAACCACATTCAGCTTCATTCATTTAATAGTGACCAGCAGAGATGAACGTGTACTGATGCATTCATTTAAACGCAGGGATTTTATACTGGAGAGTCAGAAACGTAGAACTGCGTCGTTTCTTTACCACTCGTTTATTTATAAGCTACTGTTTAATCTTCAAGTTAGCGAAAATTGCATTGCCAAATATATTGCACAAACCTTGCATATTCTTATATATTTGTATTTCTTCTATGATCATTTAATATATATATATATATATATAAAGTTGCAACTTATCACTTTTATAACCAGTTTCCTTTAAAAATGCTGAAAAAAGGAATTTCTGTTTTATTTTTTTGAACTGCTGCACAAGTTCTTCTTTACTAAAGTGAAAAAGTGTACATTTTAATTGGTACATTAAGTTATTTTACCGAATGTTTTTGTCGTTTTATGTTTTAGACCGCGACTAATTTACCACTTTTATTAATCTGCAATGTTCACCAAATTGTCAGTGGCACATTTACTGTAAATGCATCACACTGGACGAGCCGAGAGCGATGAGACCCGTGGCGCCAAAGTTCACGGCTTCAGAAATGTGCCTTTTACGCATGTTTTCTTGAGTTTATTGTTGATCATTTGTTATATGTTGCTGTCTAAAGCACTGTCACCTAACCAAAGTGCAATATGTTGCTGCGTTCCGATTTTGTACATGTTATTTTACAACAACTTCCATTCTTTAGCCATTTGAAGGATTTCTATTTACAAAACCAATACCCGAAGCCTGAAGGTACGAGGATGTCTGTGGAGCTCAATGTTGATTAGTGTGTAACCAAAGGTTCAGTGTGGATGATGTACGAAAGTGTTGTCCTACCAGAGTATCTATAATAAATGAGATGTTTATTATTCATCCTTACAGTTCTTTTGGTTTTGATCATTTTCTCTGAGGACTTGGCATTAGAAGTAACTTTTTATGAAATAGCTGTTTTAGTAAAAAAAAAAAAAATCCTGTCCTCGTTTGCTCACCATCGTGTTGGGTTTCTTTCTTCTGCTGAACAATAATAATAATAATTTAAAAAAAAGATATTTTGAAGAAGCAGTTGACGTTAGCCATTGACTTTCATAGTATTTTTCCACTGGAAAGTCAATGGCTACCGTCAACATTCTTTAAAATATCTTGTGTTCATCAGAAGAACAAACAGCAGGTTTGGATCAACAATCAGGTGAATAAATGATGACAGAATTTACATTTTTGGTGTACTGTTACTTTTATAAATCTGGTACACTAAAACAAAAAAAGAGGAACGTCTCAATTCCGACTATATGGAATATTTGGAAAAAGAAAACCTGTAGCGCCACCTACAGTTCAAAGTAGGCGTTAGTTTGATGTATTATCATTATTGATGTGAGATTGATTCATATCTCACTTTATTCAACAGGTAGTTCTGCGCCACAAATCTGATTTAATTTAAAGTTATGAATTGAACCACTGTCTTGTTTTACTCCACTACATGGTTGCTCCTTTTGTAAGTGTTTTTGTTAGTTTTAGTTGCTGGTGTCCTGTAGCACAGAAAACACTTCATTTGTGCTCAAAATCAGCCTAAAATGCAAAATAAAAAGCCTAATTAGAGAAAATAAAGATCAACGTCCAAATGCACGAACAAATATTCAGTGTTGGGGGTAATATATTACAAGTAACACAAGTTATGTAATCAGATTACTTTTTTCAAGTATCTAGAAAAGTAACGCATTACTTTTTAATTTACAAGAGAATATCTGAGTTACTTTTTCAAATAAGAAAAGCAAGTTACTTTTTTTTTTCCAATGTATTGATTGACAGCTCTCCTGTCCCCATGTTGAGAGAAATCAGATGTTACTGTAGTTCTAAAATAAATATAAATATGCATTAATTCATCTCACTCACAAAAAAAAAGAAACTCTATTTTTATTCATTTTGAGGAATACTGAATCAATGCAACTCAGAATATGATGCAAACCTGCAATAATTAAATGTTAAACAACACAAATATGCTTTATGTATTTAATCCCATTCTATTAACCAATGTCTTTGCTTCTGACCTTCGATGATCCAGTTCAACCATACTAATAAGCAAAAATTACTTTTTTTATTGCTGAAGTGTGTTGAAATGTCTTCTTCTGCACTCTACTGTACGGACGTTAATTTACTTTCCCTTCAGCCTGAGGCTTATTCATTTCACTTTTGGTGTGAAAAGGCTTTTATATTTGCCAAAAATAGAACTTTTTTATTTTAAAATCAAACAAGCAAGCCCAGTCCAGAAAAGTAGCGCAAAAGTAACGTAACGCATTACTTTCCATAAAAAAGTAACTAAGTAACGTAATTCGTTACTTTTTTTATGGAGTAATGCAATATTGTAATGCATTACTTTTAAAAGTAACTTTCCCCAACACTGCATATATTTGAAAAAGCTGTAATTAATGTATACAGTATATTCACGGTTTTATGAAAATATTAAATGCAATTAGAAAATAAAATGTTTGATATAATTGTTTTTTCCCCATTATTTTATTTTTATGTTTTTTTTATTTTTTTTTATACAATACTGTTTTGATCGGTTTATTTAATATTATTTTACTATTTTTCTTAGTGTGATTTTTGATCAGTTGTATTAAAACCGTTTAGGGTCAGTTTGAGCCACATACATCATCATCATCATCATAATGAATTCCTCATTTAAATATCCCCCGGTTTACATTTCCGAAATCTGGTCATATTGTGGCTGCGGTGTCAGAGTCACTCAATATTACTTTCAGAAGCTTTTTATAAAACTCTATATGACCCTCGCACATGGCTGTGATTCATCTGAAACCACAAAGAAAACTTCCTTGTGTCATATTACTCATGAAAAAGAAAAAAAATTACTCAAAGTCTGCACAGCACAAATCCACCCTTTCTGAGCTCTGCTGGCCATTCATCACTGCTCAACAAACACAACCAATATGACTCTGGAACTTAAGCATGTATTCATAACTTCATATTTTGATCCTGCTTTTTAACCAAATATCAGTATTTAGAAACTTTTGTTTTCAGACGCATCAGTGGCGTAGGCAGAATTTTATTTTTGATCAGGCCTGGGCAAAAGTGACTAATGAACAAGTTGGACTCAATGCTCAGGTCATTTCGATCTTCTTTTCTTTGATCCTATTGAGGATTGTGACCCTGGAGCACAAAAGCAGTCATAGGTAGCACAGGTTTATTTGTACCCATAGCCACATTGTATGGTCAAATGATTTTCTTTTATGCCAAAAATCATTAAGATATTACAGTTTTTCTCAATCGATTTGGCACTTCTCTAATGCAGTGTACTTGTTCCCAAAACAATTAGCACAGCCATGCAAACAAAACAATTATCTTAAACAGTTCAACTTTAGAAAAAATTGCAGTGCTGCATTTTGCAGTAGTAATGCATTTATTAAAAGTAAATATTAACATCAAATCTATAGGTATGTTCTCTATTGATTATAAAACACATTCAGCTGAAGATGCACAAATATGCTAAAGAAAATACATGTTTATTGCAATTCTTCAACAGGGACTTTTGTTTTACATATATTGTGTATATCTAAACAAAATAAATAATTGTTCCAACATCAACACTTGCTATCACCCATAAGACAAAAAAAAATAAATAAAAAATCGCCCCTTTAAACTTAAAATCTGTATGTGCCACCTTTAGCAGCAAGAACTGCAAACAAACTTTCCTGATAACTACAGATGAATCATATACATGCATATATACATACACATAAACATACATACATACACATAAACATACATACATACACATAAACATACATACACACACAAACATACATACACACACAAACATACA